GAGAAACGGAGTATTTCAGCACAGGTACAGCATTGAGGAAAACCTCTGTTTCTGGTGCCCTTGTTAAACTTGGTATTTGCACATCCTACTGCCATACAGACCTACACAGAGACCCCAAGGCAGAGTGAATCCTGTATTAGTGCAGACTTTAGTGCAGAAATGAAAAAAGAGAATGGCTTTGGGTTTTTCCTTGACATAGGTTCTGATAGTCCTTGGAGCATGTGGGGATCCTTTAAAAACTGCTCTAGTCTGGCTGTGCTTTTCTAGCTTTTGATGGGCCCACTTTATGGAGACTGATTCCTCCCTCCTCCTTCCCCAGTTTCTCCTGCTGCACTTAGGGATGCCTTATGCCACCATGACAAGGCTAAAATGCAGATGACAATGTGGGAAAGGAAAACTGTATATCCCCTATGCAAAAATAAGATTTCCCCCCCCCCCAACAAACTCCAGGGGATGTGTAGAGTCAGGGAGAGGGATCTATTTTCATCATCCTGATTTATGGAAGTCAGCTGGCTCAAACAGTGACTATTTCAAAGCAGAATGTCTTAAGCTTGGGAAAGGGCCAGTTATCCTCACCACAGTCACTCAAACAAATAACCAAAAATGGGAGAGGGAAACTGGGAGGCAGCATAAGAATACATGTGCACGCTGGTACAGAGAGCTATGAGCAGGCTTCTGATCTTCCAACTGCTGATTTCTGAAGAAATATTTCTAAGGGGTGTGGATTCTGTTCCTACATGATTGCAGGTAAAGCAGGACACACTTCTAAGCACAGACAGCATAAACCATCATTTTGAAAAGGACCAAGATGGGGTAAAGTTGAGGCAATGAAGAGTGAAGAATACAGATGTCCAAGGGATACGTGCCTATCCATACAACAAAGTCAAGAAAAGAAGAAACTGGGAGTATTTAAAGCTAATCAGGCATTTGTAGCTCACAAGCAATACAAATAATTGCAACGCAAAGGTGACTGGTGATGGTCCAGTGTGGTGCCTGGATGGTCCCTAAAGGAGCTGTTATCCTTTTTTTTCAGAGACAGTGTATAGATGCTGTTTTTATCAATCTTTTGCTTTTTTCTTTGCACAATTCTTCAACAATGAAATAAAATATCCTGACTTGAACTTCCTTTAAAGTTTATCTCTCCATAGGATTTTCCCATGCAAATTTCTATTAGTTCCTGGGAACAATACTTCAGCCAAAATATCTCCTTTAATGCAAAATTTTAGCACTGGATATTCAGATAACTCAACAGAAATGTCCATATTACTCAATCTTGCCCTGCAATTTTCAACCTACTCATAAATACAGTGTGTCCCCATCTGTGCTCTGTTCTCATTGTGAATTTGCTAATTTTCCCTGTTCTTTTATTGGTAGGGGTACAACTTGATACAAATGTCCAGATTGGGTTAACAAAGACCCAGGTAACACATGGCAAAGTCTGTATGAGACAGAAAAAAGGAAATACAATATTTTAGTTACAGCAAGGTTAAGTGAAGCATACGTCTGATGAGTTGGGCCTGGAAACATATTTTTGTCTCACACAGCATCATTTCTCTTGGAAAACCAATGCTTTACGAAAGGTTTTCAATGGACTTGGGAAAGTGGGGGGCAAAGGGTTCCTCTGCAGCTTCTTAATGCTTGAAATCCATTCCTGAGTACTTTCATCCCTAATTAAAGGTCACCCACTGGTTCGAGAACAACTGTTAATGAAGAGTTTAATTATCCAGATGACAGCTATAAAATCCTACTCCTGTGCTTGAATATTTTAAAGCAACAAGGCCCACATTTTCAAAGATGTGCTTGTAACCAAGTACTTAGACAAAAACTCTCACTGAAGAAGAGTGTGTATGAGCCATTCACATTTGCATACACAATGGGAGATTGCATATGCCCACATTAAAGATGCAAATCTGTGAGGAGGTTTGTATGTGCTTACTTGACCGTTTGAACCAGACCCACCTTTCTTTTCTGTTCTTTCATTCAGGGAGGGGGAGGGATGTTTAAATTATTCCTTGAGGATAAATCATTTCACATTATTAACTCTTCTTAACAACAAAGCTGCATAAATTAAATGTAAGATTATCTGCTGTGTTCTCGGTGGAATGATTAGGAGGGAATCTACAGGAAAGAAATGTGGTCAAATGATTTGAAGACTTGCTAAATGGGATGCAAATCTCATCTTGCATTCTTAACAAGCTCAAATGTAGACCTGCCTTCTAATGAGCAAACTCTGCTTGGCATATCTGTGCAACCCTCAGAGCAAAGTTATAAAGAAAATGGATCATGGTTCATTTTCTCTACTGAGTCAGGTTTTTGCTTTTATTGACGCCTTTGACCAGCTGCTTCTATTACCTTTACCCATGGTGACAATTTCTGTGATGCTGCCCTTAGTCTGCCAAGCTGAAATGGTCCCATTTCTCATTTCCCATCACAAGATGAGTGTTTCTCAGGGAGGTCAGGTTTGGGTTCCCCACAAGGTACATGCCTGAAAGAATGATGCTTCTATCAAACAGATGAAGAAGTTGCTTATCATGTTCTCACTGCCAGCACAGTCTCTTGGTATCACTGGTGGTGGCACCATAAGGGCAAAGAGAGTCATAATTCTTTAACTGGGCATTTTTGGGGTCTTGGTGAAGTCTAAAATGCAATGGATGTCCACATAAGGGCAGTGAAGAAAACCAGAAGGTATTACAGTATTGTCTACTGTCAGGTGGTCTTTGGAGCAAGCTAGCAATGGGCTCCAAAACAGAACAACTCCAAGGTTTTTTCTGTGAGTTGGAGTTAGGCTTTGACTCAGTTTTCTTGTTACCTGTGGCCTCTCTCTCCTGCACATGTGCACACACAGACACATGCTTATTTGTTGGAGCAGAATCCTCCGCAAAATATAATTTCAAGCCCTGGGTGTAAAAAGGAGGGGAAAAATATTAGAATGTATCACATAACAAGAACCATCTCTATATATTGAAAAAGAGGAAAATGCCTGTCTGAGCTCTATCAATGGATAATATCTTATAAGAAATATGAATTAATAGAGGAGAGATTTGTTAAGAAAACCAAAACAGGTCAGTCTTAGTATGCTATTTGTTGAAGAGGTTTCAAACATACCTTTCTGTGCTTTGTTAACTCTCCAGGACTCTACAGGAGGGTTTTCTGTGCAGAGTCTCTCACCAGCTGAGCTTCATCCGTAGGTCACAGTGACCCAACTGTGGAGGCTGTGCTGCAAAAACGGAGCTCTCCAGATAAGCAGTAACATTTATTGCGTACTTTGTCAGCATATCTCGGGCCATACACTTGTTCTCAAGGCACTTTGTTGTGATATCGGTTTTATTAAAATAGATTTCAAAAAGGGAAATGTAAAACAGTTTAAAGATTGAAACATAAACATGTTGTTCGGTGCTGAGAAAATCCACACCAGACACCAGCAGGCTTTTTGTACATTACAAGAACAAAAAAAATGTATCTTGCATTTTTTTCTTATACTGCTTTCTTCAAACAAAAAACACTGTTTAAAAAATTGCTACAAACAGACCAATATCCCATACAGGGACATTGACACAGGTCACACAATGTGTCTCACAATCTGGAAAATTATTAAAATTAAAATCCAAAGAAAAGTTAAAGCCAAGGAGTTCTAAGGACTAGATGAAGGAGGTTTTGTCTTGACAACTGCACGATCAGCCTCCCAGCTTTGGAGGTGCTGCCACAGCCTGAGTTGCCACCAGAGCTCCTGAGCAGCATGTGTGGGCAGGATGACATGTCCTCTTGCTTGGGACAAGGCAAGGTGTTCAATTATGCAGGTTCTACTTGCTCTTCAAGTATCAACTCTAGCATCCTCTGGAGAAAGAGCCATGGGCTAAGGTGGCTTCATCCCTTTGGCACTGGTCTGACTCTGTACACAAGATACAATCCTGCAAGGTCTCTTTTTAGGGATGCTAATTTGTAAAGAATATTTAACTGCGTCCTAATTCTGCAAACGTCTGGGCAATGGGTTTGCATGAAGTAGATCAGATGTATCAAGCCCATGTGCCTGACAAGACTATTTACAAAACTGGCTTCTAGACTATGATGCCTGTGCTTTCCTGAACTGCCAGGTCTCATCCTTGGCAAATGGATAGTGCCCAGGAAAAAAAGCGTGACATGATGCACTGCAAGAATTTTCCCTATTTATCAACAAAAATGGTGTAGTATTTTTCAAATAACACCCCTCATTTTTGGGCCAAGAATAGACTCAGGAACCTTTTTTAAATGTAACTAGAATATCTGTCATTTTGGAACATCATCATTCAGTCACTTTCATCAGGATGGGTTTTAATGGCTGCACACCATTACACTATATATGATATAAAGTATTTGTGAAAAAAATCATTCCTTTGAATAGTCAGAAGATCTTCCCAGAGATGAACTGTCTTTCCTGCTCTTCTCTTTCATTCTTCCTTCCCCTGGATCTTGGAGGGAGTGTTACTTGTATAACCCCAAAACAACCCCCAAAACACAATCTTTTTGATCTCCCCTGTTTTATACCCTAGGGAGCTGATAGTTCTTTCCCTGGCTAGGATTGAATGAATAATCTCCTCCTGCAGTTATTCACATCAGGTTGAGATGCTGAAATGTGAAGCTGATGATGGGAGATTATGGATAGAAGCATCAAGATTTGCTACTGAAATTTTATGAGTTGTAGGTAGGAAATATTTAAAGCACATCACATTTAACCATGAAGACTCCAAAGATTTATAATCTCATGAACTGTTTGTGAGGGAGAAATGAAGCCCAGAATCCTCTTTTGGTGTTTTCTTTACGCCCACATATCCACACATATTCACACAATCAGCATGAGAAAACCCTACTCATCCTTAAATCTTTGTTGCAATTTGGAATGATTAACCCTCAGAAAGTTTGATATGCAAATCGTGTAAAAAGTCTGTACATTCATTGAGATCTTAGTAAAAAATCCTCTAAAATCAGGAAATCTGAATGAAAAGGTTTCCTTTTTTTTTGTTTGTTTTGTTTTGTTTTGTTTTGTTATTTCAACATACACAGCTTATGGTTTATTTCAGATCTTCCAGTCTGGACCATCATCTGATAATGTGCACACAAAGGATTTTCTTTTTTTTTTTGAAGGGAAGGGGAAATCCTAAAAATATTTTACAAAAAATTAGGATTTCTCATAAACTTTTATACTTTTATTCAGGGTTTCAAAAGCCATACCTAGGTCCATTGTCCTTTACACAGCCCAGGCAGGTTAATGCACTAATGTTGTTGTATAGTAAACCTGCCTCTTGTATCATCTTACAGCAGCCCATTGGCCCATCTTGGCATATCCAAGGGGCCCAGACACACAAAAGTGAATTCAACCCAGCTCTGTGAGAACAACTTGAGAGAACATCCTCCTTATTATAAGGGGTTTCTCCTGCCTTTGTTCTTGCGCTTTCTTACCTTGAAAACAAACCCCAAACCAAACCAACTTCTAGAGAAAAACTTAGACGAAATATGTTTCTCTGAGCCTGCCAATCCACATCAACACAAAACCCAACCAAAGTGACACTTCTGTGCAGAGTAAGGCAGGTCCATGCAGTGTGGAACAGAAAACACCAACATAGCTGGAGATGTCTTCCGCCCCTCTGCTGTGGTCAACAGAAATGGAAACAACACAGGATATTCTCACTCCTAGTAAGTCTGTGCTCAAGGAGGGTTTAAGTAGGCCTCCTGTCTTCTGCAAGCCCAGAAAGTACAATTAATGAAAAAAACCTAATTATTTGTCATTGTTATAACACATTTCACACAAAAAGAAATTATTTCTACATATTTTTTTTCTTTCGACTGTATATAAACACTACTTAATTCTCAATAAGCAGCTAACATCTTCCTAGAATGAAGGGAATTTCTGCCTACATGGTGGGAGATACTGGTTTATGATCTCATTTCTTTCTTAAGGCAATTCTATGAGAAGACTTTGGTACTTTGGTCTTCAAGAGCTGATGAAGATGATGTGCCATCTCTGATGGTTGTTCATTGAACAAAAATAGCAAAGTGGAAATAACTTTTTCTTTCCTCATAAAACATAAGTTTACATGCTATGCTGAAGTCATTATTCAAATGCACTGTTGGAAGTGATTATCACACTGCCTCAGACACAAATCCATGCAAGTGTTTCAGTTCAAGTGATTCAGAGGAACCAATGAATAAATAGGGCCATCACTGTTTTTTGATGCAGGAGGGCAATGACCATTTCTTGTGTGGAAATTAGGAGCAGATGAGGAGGTCTCTGTTCTGTAAATCTGGGCTTGCATTTCACAGCAACCAAACTTGCTCAACAGAATGAAGAAATCCCTGCGGAAAGTCTTGGTGAAAATGGCGTAGAGGAAAGGGTTAGCACAGGAGTTGATGGGGTAAAACAAAACCAGAAGGATCTTGGATTTGGACACTGTGATGAGAGGAACCTTGAGTGAGGCTGATATTGCAAAAAAGGATATGGGTGCCATGCAGAGGAAGTCTGTGAAGATGAGTATGGCCATGCGCTTGGCAATCTTGGTGTCACTGTTGGAAGAGATCACATTGGGGTTCCTCACAGTGGAGTAGATGCAGATGTAGCACACGCATATAATCACAAATGCGAGCACATTCAACACTAAAAGACATACAACATAAGCCTGAGAAAGTGGTGTTTCTATATCCATGGGCAAACAGATGCTGACCTTCATGTAGCTGCTGACTCCAAATATGGGAAGAAGTGCTACTGTGAAAGCAAACAGCCAGCCAAAAACCATTATAATCACAGCGTGACGCAATCGAACCTTGCGGTGCAGCTGCATGGCATAGGTGATGGTGTGCCACCTCTCCAGGGTGATCACAGTCAGTGTGTAGACTGACAGTTCACTCGCAAACACTGTGAAAAATCCTGCAGTATTGCATCCTGCCCCAGTTTGCCAGTCTATGGCGTAGTTGTAATACTGGCTTTTGGTCTGGATATCCACAGATGCAATACACAACAGATAGATGCCTATGCAGAGGTCTGCAAATGCAAGATTGCACATCAGGAAGCGAGGTACAGTGAGCTTGTATTGGCTGCTTATTAAAATAATGAGGACAACAATGTTCCCAGTGATAGCTAAAATGCTGATAAACCATATCAGGACTCGTAGAATGTTGTATCCCATGATATCTTCACATGGATTGAAAGCATCAGGTTTTGGTGAGCAAGCTACGTTAACTACTTCGTTGCATAAACCGTAGTCAAAGTCATTCTCTCCTGGATCAAATCCTGTGCCGTAGCTTGAAATATAATCTTCAGCTCTGGATTGTATCTGTAGCTTTTCACCAGGCTGCTCCTTAAGGTCTTTCTTGGCCTGAGACGTGACACATATCGGATGTAATTCGGTGCTGAAATTGTAAAAAGAGTGGAGTTGGAAGCTAAGAGACACAGTGTGAGACATACAACACAAAATCATCCAGTTTCCATTAACAGCTCAGTTCTTCTGTTTAGCTGATTATATAGATTACCTGGAGCTTGAAATTGATAGTCTGGGTGGTCCTTATTTATAAAATATTACAAGAACATGTAAGCGATTTGGAAACATCATAAAATGTAAGGGAAACAAAAGCCTAATGTTTGCCTAACACCCATGATAGAGTTATCCACCTGGATAACAGGTTCTCTAAGAAGCCTCCCTTATTTGAACTGAATTTCTCACATAGCCTGTCATTGATAAGCTGATTTGTGCGTGGGGGAAATACATGATGATGAATAGCAATGTAAGACTGAGCTTTGAAGAATTAGTCAATTAATCTGTGTTCATAAGGACTCTGTTGAACCACAATAATGCTATGATCCCTTAATATTATTCTCAAATTCCCTTTTTCCTAGAGGTTTTGACCATCACTGTGAAGGGCACAGAACACCTCCAGTTTGTGCTGTTTATTTCTAAGTATCTCATAACATTACTGGCCAGTAACATAAGTAAATAAGCTCATGTAGGCTTCCAGATAACACCTAGAAGCCAGATGCCAACATGAACCCAAGACACAGTAGACCATTTTGTTAAAAACTGTTCTTCAAAGAAAATGGATTAGAAAGCCAGTGAAGCAAAACCAAGCCAAACCATGCTAAACAAAACCAAATCAAACCAACATTTTAATGGAAGAGGTAGTTGCTTTTGTTTCTGCCAGAAAGTATTTTTTAAACAATCCAAGAATTTTTAGCAGCACAAGTAAATAAAGGAAAAGAGTTTCAAGGAAAAACAAAAAGCCTTTGAAGGTTAAATTAGTATTTTTGATAGTTTTGTGTTTGGTTTTATTTCATAGTGTGTTAGCTCTATGCCCTTCTCCATCTCTAGACAAACAGAAGAAACAAATATTTTGGCTGAGATGATAGAAAGATGACTAGGTCCATCAAGTTAAGAAATATCAAGATATATTCCTGTATAAACATGAAATGAAGGGTCAGACTTTACAACAACTTCTCCTAGGCTGCCTTTGAAGTTTGCTGTCCCATAAACTTGTGTCTGTAGTTTTGGATGCAGACCTAATCCGAGTTAGGAAATAAAGCAGGGGAAAATGTGTTGCAAAACCAACACAGCTCTGCCTACATTCAGCTACAATCCAGATTGCAATTTAGGTGTAAAATTTCCAGGACAGGACCCCAGCTTATCTTCCACCATGACTTTCAGTACAGTCAAGAGAAGAACTCTCTAGGCAAGTTAGGTTGAAAACTTTGAACAACTGGTAGTGGCTTAAAAGGGAGAATTCTTCTTCGTAACCTAATTTCACCCTTTGACTTTGTGCACTCACTATATCTTCCAAAAATTGAGTTTAAAAGGTCTGCAAGAAAGGAAAACTAATGAAGGCCCAGCACCAGAAGGTGAGAGACATTTCCTATGAGGTTCTGAACATCCTCTACCATTATCAATATTTTTTATCTTGCCTGTCAACTGAGGCAGAAAACTGATTTTCTGTGAGGTCAAATATGCACTATGAAGGTCACAATAGCAATAACAAGGCATTACATTTTGCTCCCCTGTGTTCTACTCGCATAAGGATGAGTGAGGGGTCCACTGTATTGATCAATATATCAACAGTTCTCTGGTTGAAAGGGAATATAGGCTTCCAAGGAGCAATAACAGGACAGAAAGTCCCTCATTTTTAGTGCAACAGTCACCCAGGTGTACTGCAATTGGTGGTTCTTTGTAAATGAACTGAATGAAATGTTCGTATCCAATCATTTCTCAGCATTAGTTAAAAGTAAACCTTTTCTCAAATTACGGAGGCACTGCCTGGACCTAAGTCTATTCCCTGGCAAGACTGCTATGTAAGGCCAATTAAATATTTCTGATTATTACAATTTATTAATTCTTGAATTATTTTACAGTCAGTGGTCCCAAGTAGAACCAGGGTCCCATGGAGTTAGCTGCTGTGTTTGCTCCAAGGAGGGTGACGAGTTACCTGTACTGTGAGCAGGTAAGATGGGCAGCCGTGAAATCCAATGGGAAGGAAGAGGCATCCTCTGATAATGACTCCTTACCATATCTTTGCCCTGTGATGTTTACTCCTTGGGCTGTGCAGTGCATTCAGAGCAACAAGTTAAAACCTTGTTTGCCAAGGGATGGGTGGGTCCTTGCCTCCTTTTGAGACCATGGGTACTGTAATAAACTCCACTTATTCACTCTGTAAAATTCTGTTACTGTTTAGCATTATTTTGCCAAAGTAAACTAGAAAAATAAACTAGAGAAAGGACAACTTAGAGAATAAAATTAAAATTGACAGAGTGCTCTGACAAAAATAAACAAAAATTACTACCTTTGTACAAGTTGTTATTTTATGCACTTTGTCTGGAGCTGGTGACAGCAGGATTTTGTGTGCTGAGAAACATGCTCAGCAGAGCAAATAGTCTTAACCTAGGTTCTGTATTAAGCCCTATCTCAAACCAATCATTCTCACCAAAAGGTGACATCAGGTGAGTTGTGAGCAACTGATGGTATGTTCTCATGAGACAAGGCCCAAACATGACTCCTGATTCTGCCACATTTTTTGAAAAAGTAGGATTTCAAGTGACAGGTCCTTTGAAGAATAACGATCAAGTGTAAGGACAGAGTCATATCAATGTCATTCTTTTAGGCAGAAGGTGATCTTTATGTCAAAGGAAGTCAAAAGCTTACTGAAGTTCATAATGGTATATGTCAAGTTGAGGGTTTTAACATCCAACCTCTGCCCTATCCACACTTCAAGGATATTATTTTCCAGTCACAGAAAAATGTGAGGGAGTTCAACATACTGTACTGGACTTAAGAAGGCAGCTTACCTTCTGTTAGGCCAGCATCACAATATTCAAGCATGATCAATTCACAGATCAATATTTAGCATATAGTCCTTATGGGAATGGGAAAAACATCAAAATTGTCTTAAAATTTGTGTCTCAGACTGGCAGAGCTTGATTCCACCTTCTCCAAAATTTAGAAAGCACCTGTCACTGTAACAGGTTTAAGCTTCCCATTATCACAACAGCACCTGTTCTCTGGCACAGACAGATTTGGGAGAGGTGACCAAGCAGGATTCGCTATGGCAATTTATTTTTTCTAAGAGTTCGAGTGCTGCAAAAGTGTCAAAGAGGGAAAATCTAACATAAACTGGCAGCCAGAAAGGGACCACACATCCCTGTTTTATTTCCTTCCCAGAGTTCCCATGTGAACAGCAGCTGCTGCTGTGATCCTTAGAAATGCACTTGTGGGGGTGATAAGGCATCCTTTTTATACTCCCTGGACCACCTGGAAGTATTCTGAGAGCCAAATAGTCACAGAATAGTGATTGTCTCCTGTGAAGGTGCATGACAAGTCAGGACACATCACGGCTCCCACCACCACAAATGATGCTGCAGCACTGAACCAAGCACAGTTCTTGCCAAAAAAATATTACATGTTGTGTGATCGAACATTATACAAACTATTAATAACTTTTAAACAGCCTAAGCAGCCTTCAATGCACTCACAACTTGTGCCAGCTGTCATGAAAACTGCTTTGAAATGAAAGCTGGTGTAGCTACCCTATGTGTGACTCATGTCTTTTGAAGTGTATTGTAATATCTTCAGTATTCAAACTGAACACATGTATCCATTTTCTCCCTTTAAGCTGGAGAAAGGATGTTAGTTTCCCACCAATTTGAGTACAAGACACATGACTGTATGAAAGAAATTACCATTTTTAATTCTGTTAAAAAGCAGCTAACAGAAAAATTCTAGTAAATTTCTATTTATGCTTAATATTTAGTAAAAAATGTATCTGGTAACTATTAAAGACATATATGAATACATTCAATTTTGTTCTGTTGACCAGGGTGGTACAGTTCACATGCACATTCATTCAAGTAGTCCTATATCATATGTCATAAGCAGGAGCATCTCCAACTTACATATTATTTCTCCCCATTGCATCACACCTGATACTGTAGGAGACTGAAGTTGTGACCAAACTTCTCCAGAAGCAGCCCCACCACTGTGGGTACTCCAGCCCAGCTTGCTGGCCATCCTTACCTGGATTGTGTGAGCTCTGCACAGGTTTGTTGGCATTTCTTTGCAAAATTACGCTTACCTGAGCAGTGGAAAGCAATGTTTTGTGTTCTCCTTGGCTTCTTGCCTGCCAGGGCAAAGGCCTTCAAAAGAGGGGCTATACAAGAGGGGAAGAGAGTGTTGTGGTCTTCAATTCCCTGGGGTGAGTGTGTGACAAGGAAGTTATTTTAAAGCCCAAGTGAGGGGACTAGATACTGGGAGCTTACCACAAGATCAGGACTGTTTCCTCCTATAGCCTTCTTCAATAGCAACTCTTACATAGTTTTTGAAAAGTCCAGTTGCCTAAATTAAGGGGTGGATTCTGTGATTTGGGTCCTGTTTAAGGTCCAAGCAGCCCAGAAGCCAAGTACCTTCAAAAATATGAATCATAGTGACATCAACATTCTTTTGCAGATTCAGGATTAAACATGCTTTCATTGGACTCATTGGAATATAACACTTTGTCATCAGGGCTGGAAGGACTGGATCCATTCCTACATATAAGTTACCAAGACTGCATGAGTATGTGAAAACATCTCCTGCTGATAAATTGTTCTAGTGAAAAGTTTAGCATTTTGGAACAAAAATGGACAATGGGGGATGGATTCTGACAGATACTTCCCTTATCCCTGCAGTCCCAGCATCACACTTGCATTCTTTACACAGACAGTTTTGCAAACACATGTAGGTGATATTTATTAGCCATCAGCACAGGCAAACTCAGTTATCTTCCATTGTTTGGTGACAATACAATGCTAAAAGTAAAATAAATGGCTATTTGAAGTGTTAAAATAGAAGTTACTGACAGTTTATGCTTTTTCTGCATGGTTTTACTGTTCTTTGAAGAAGTTTTATGCAACTTCTGAAGATGATGCCTTGATTTATAACAAGGGTTCATGATTTTTTTTTTCTGCCATGGCAAAGTCCAAGTCTTTCAGGACATCCAGTAAAGGAAGAACTTCAAACAATAATAGGGGTTTCCATAGGCATCTGCTCCTCGTGTTTTCCAGTGGCACAAATTCAGGAGGCTCATTAACTACTCAAAGTGTACATTTCAAGCCTGCCTGAGCAGGTGAAAATACTCAAAAAGAATCATTGATACCTGAAGTCTCACTGCAACCCACTAATGGAAAATTAAAATAAGCATGCAAAATTACAACTGGAGTCTAAAAAGACACCATACCCTCCCACAGTCCCTCTGTTGATTTGGGTAAAATGGATCTGCTCTAGGTTAACCATTTCAGAAGTCACGTCCAAAAACATTGTCGATGTCAACTCAACAGATAAGGTATCTCTGATGCTTGGCTTGACAGTGTTCCAATATCAGCGAGGCTTTCTGAGAGAACAGTATTTTGCATCACTCTGTGGTCCTGTTACCCTCCTGAATTGATGGACAAGTATTGACAGCTTCTCTGCAAACACAGCTTTCTCTCCAGCTACCTCCTGAAAAGTTATCAAACTTTTTCTATTTAATGTTTTCAGCATGGCTCCAGGCTGATCCAGGACAGCAGGTCCAGTGAAACATGGACCTACAACAGGTGGGGACAGAGCTGCAGCTGGGGAAAATACTGATGGTAAGCTAACACAGCTATTAGAATTTAACAATTCCCTGTAATGTGGAGGCAGTACACTGTGTAGCATGCAAAAACCTGTATGTATTGTGTATTTATTTATTTCTATTTACTTACCTGCTTTAAAGAGACCTTTTCTATCCAGACTTTGAGGAATTTTATTTAATTTACTATCAAATGCTGAAAAGTGCCAAGAAGAAAAACAAATTAAATCACTTACTTTTGTCTTTTCCAGTTTGTAAATGCACAGCAATGGCTCGGATACGTGAAGTTCGCTTCAATCAAAGATCTAAATTTGCTTAGATCAGGAAGCTGTTTTAAATTGTGTGTAGATCTTGCTCTTAACTTCTTAATGAGTTCTAATCCATGACTTGGCAGGAAACTGATTTTCGTGCTTGAAATATCCCTTTAAGAAAACAGATTAAAATCTTGGTAAAAAGCAAATTTACTTCTGCTCAACAAGGGATATGTGTTTTAGACTGTCCTACTCTTTCTCAGAGTAGTGGTTGGAAACAGGTCACCTGGAAATCTGCACTAAAAAGAGGATCCAGTGAAAAATTAGGTGTTCCTCCAGCAAACTGAACTAATATACATTGCAAACAACAATCAAGTGATGCTAGTCTGTGAGAAATAAAGAAAAAAGTCCCATAATGTTCTGGGTAAGAATTAACAGGGACATAAACCATTAGCGCCATATGATGCTGGGTTTAGTAAATACCCAGTAAATGCAACAGTCATCCCACAATACTCTTACAGGATAAAAAAGGCTGATGAAATCGCAGTAGAAGTTTGCTGTATGAACATCACATCATGGGAAGGCTGTTGTGGAAAAAGCAATAAACACAAAGAAAGAAGCTCACATGGGGGGTACAGATGTGAGGACAGGTTGGGTATATCAGGTTTTGTGCTCATTAGGAAGAAAAGGAGATTAAAGACAGGCAGGGGTGACATTGTTCAAAATGTTAGGAACAGAAAAAACAAACCAACAAAACATTCCCAGAGGTTTAAAGAACAAATATAGCACAGACTGAAGCAAAGAATGGGACAAGATTACAGGAGGTTAGGAGAGGTGTATTTATGTGGAAGGTAATTACTGTGTTGGACAGGCTGTCAGAGGCAGCGATGGAACCAGCACCCATGAATGTATTAAAGAGAGCATTAGAGGGGCTTTTAAAAGAAAACACATTCTGCAAACACTAAATCTTGACTTGTGCCATGCAGGTGGGGAAAGGGAAGAAGGACCAAGTGTGCTCCATCTCCAGGCTGAGATATTTGGGAATCCTTCCCCATAGCTTCAGGGTGTAACAGCTGGGGCAAAACATCTCCAAATTTCCCCCACTGGAGCACAAACCGTGTCCCTTGGATCATGGCAGCATGAGAACACACTTCTTTCTCTTAAAATGTGAAAATGAACTGCACAAAATCACCCTGTCCTCCTCCCTTAGTCCTTTGTGCTCTTATGGGCTAAGACTGATCCAGGATACAGTGTTTACTGAGGCTGCTCTGCTCTTAATTCTCCAAGAAAAGACAGAATTTTTGCTTAATCAGGGAATTAAACTGACAATATTTGTAGTTTTCTACATGTCCCCTTGAAGATACAGTTTCATCTGTAACAGTATGATGTCAGTACAACGTTATTTGATCTCTATTACTCAATGTGCACAAATTGTTTTTATTATCATTTTAATACAGTAGAGTGGTGCCTTGTGAGGGGGAGATCAGGTTTTAGCAGCATGTAACAAAGTTTAGACAGTTGCTATGTACCATACACACAGTTACATCTCTGTTCTCTGGTTTAAGAAACAAAATTAATGCCAGGGAAGGGCTCTGTTTGAACTCCAGCCAAGCCTAACAAATTCACAGGCAGCTGATAAAGTGGTTTGTAAAATTGGTGTTGGGTAAAGATGATGTGTCCATGCTGTGCCTACAGCCAGGCTCTAAAGGAATGTACCACCTTCAACAACTGAACCATGAACTGTGGCAGCAGAGGAGCAAACACAGACTCCACTCCACTGCCCTGACCTAGGGCCATAAATTCTACTGGAAGGGCAAATAGACCAGTGTATTAAAAATGCTATGAACTTCTGCAGGGCAGAATGAGAGAAGCCACACTTCTCACAGAGAGGGTTCTGAGGTCCTGGGCCTGTTTCTTACAGGAGCTGAAAACAGTAACCAATGAGAAATTTTAGGCTATCTGTTTCTGACCTGGACACTTGAAGAGGTAATTAGGTTGCAATGAGCAACCTTGATTTTCGCGTGGTCTGACTATTGCCCTTAGTGCACTGCCTAATGAAAACTGTCACCCAGAGTATATGCTCACGAGCCAACAACTAAACAGCAGTTTTCTGCCTAAATCCACAGACAGCATCACTCATGGCATCATTAACAACATGTGAAACTTCATAATTCTGAAAAAGAACATGGAAAATGTTTTCTTTGGCTTGTTAGATAAAAATCATTACCAAATCCAAACTGTTATTACAAGGAGTGGAAATAATGAGCAAATATGAATAGGAATACCACCTGAACTTAAAAATAGCAAAAAGGTTACTGGGTCTCTCATAATCTCTAAATAATTTCATAAATACTAAATTTTTTCCCCACAAAAATATTTTATTCTTATTTTAAAAATTTTTCTTTTTATGTGAATTATTGCACATAAACCGAATTGAGTTAGGGAATTTGATTTGCAAACTCCTGCAGGGGTTTGTTGGTATGTCTGTGAGGGATAGTTATCAATAGACCACTGGCATGCCCCCAAACAGCAAACATAGACATTGTGAGGGTGATTTAGTAACTTACTCCACTGAGTTACCACACACAGACCTCAGTGCAGAGGTTCTTTGGGATGTTGCTCTCTAGTTAGAGGCTTGATAAGTTAAATAATCATGATGAACAAGATCATAAAGTGGCAATAGGAAATCAAACCATAAGGCATCAACAATTGGAATATGTGTTCCTGTGCTATTTCTGCTTGGCTGTTAGTCATCAGCCTTGACAGCAGCTGGTGCAGGAACAACAAAATGAATCTGACTTCTCTTCCAATCACTTCCCTTTCCCACTGGGAGTCTCTGTTGGATTAGCAAAAATACTGACCAACTGATGAGGTTTGAAAGGCACATACAGAAATAGTGGGAAATAGCTGCCAGAGCAGAAAACAGAGGGCAGCAAAGTGGTTGGTGAGAATTTTCTCCATGTATCTAAACCGATCTCTGGCTGCACTTCAGGGACTCAGCTGTTGAGCTGGGGATATACTGGAGCTCTCCTGTAGCCCCCATAGGTGGGTTTCCCATTGACGACAAATTGCAAGGGTAGGATGGACCACTGCCATACCATGCCTTGCATCGAGTCAGGACATAGTCAGAGAACTAAGGACTCCAGCAAAATCTGGTGTGAGCCACTACAGCTCCGAGAGCAGCAGAAAACAATTAAATGACACAATATGGCTGAAAACTGAAGCTATGAAACTCCAAGCTGGAAACACAGTGTATTTCTGTATAGAAGCAATATGTATAGGTGTGGGGATTATTAGCTGCTGGATTTACTTGCCTACTGTCAGCACTGAAATCTTTTAATTCAAAACTTGATGTCTATCCAAAAGAGATATTCTAATTCAGCTTAGAGCAGTAAGTCTGAGAGAGGAATTGATTTGTGAAACTCTGTAGTCTGTTCAAGGGCTAAGACTGGTGCTTTCTGATTATTTGTGTTTCTTTCACATTATTTTAATACGCTGAATTGTAAAATAGAAGTTGAAACTAATTGACTGTAGAACACTCGTTCAAGAAGGTCAAGAGTTAACCCCCCCAATGTTCATTCTAATAAAACATTGCAGTCTGCAACATGGATTTGATTGCAGCAAAACTTTTTCTCCCAGCAAAGATATGATTATGGGTCAGTCATTCCACAAGTGAAAGCGCATCCCTGGTGTACACTACGCTGATGGATGCGTAAGAAGGCTCTTCTTTCATGATCTCATCCAGGATAAAAAGGTAATTTCCCATCCATGGAATAGTGGATGTATTGGTAATGGAACAGAAAACTTTTTACACAAATAACTCAGTGTTAGGAATTGAACTATCAAATGAATCTTAACCACAGGCAAATCAATTTGATAAACACCCAGAATATGACTGTATCAGTTATAGCTTGCAAAGAAAATGCATTTTCTTTTTGCTACAGGAAACAATGATTTTCCTAAGAAACATCTCTGACATTACTGATGAAAAGATGCTCCACTGGCAGTCTTTTCCAAAGAATGAAGACGCTTTTAGGAAGTGAGGGAAGTGAAACAGAATGCAGTTACCCATACTATAGCTCTTTATATCATAGGTGCACTGGCCATCACAATGTGGAAACAAAATGCCTTCAGAAGAGCTCTGGACTGAACTCAGGGTTAATCAGACATTTTTCTCCTTCCGTTTTAGATTTTTAACCACTCTAACATCTGTGTAAAATCTTCCAAGAGCTCCAATGACCCCTTTCACTCTTTCTGGACAAGCAGGATAGATGGGAAGAGAGAAATGTTCTGACAAATGGGTGAGACAAAAAAAGGCTCCTACATCTCTGTCACAGCTCTTACATGTTGTGGTTTGAGCTCAGGAAAACAAGTAGTTCTGCACAATTACAGGCATTTTCAGACCCCATGGCAAATCATGGCTTGAGATAATGGTTACTGAGATTCATGAGCATCCTACTGCTGAATTCTCTACTGCGGAGATCTCAATTTCCATTTCATCACCCACCAAAGACATCCTGTTGTAACTGTGTGGGATGTCTCTCATACCTATCTCTACAGGAGATGGGACATCCCAGTCCCTAACCCTGTAGGACAGGAATTTTTCTTTAGAATTAAGCTCCACAGATACAGGGGCAGGTCTTCGGTGGCAAGTAATCCAGATTTAAGCACTGAGAACCACTCACCTATTCTTCATTTTGCTCAAACAAAAAATCAAAAGCATTTTCTGTGGAAAAATAACCAAAGGCAAAAGTACTACTCTCTTACACAGTTTAATCAACCATGGAGAGGAATCTTAATCTAAATCTCTCACTTGAAATACTTCAAAAACTTGAGGACAAAGTGAAAATAAGGATCTAGACTGATTTTTTTTTTTTTTAGCATATTCAGAACTACATGTCTGGTTTCGAAGTTCAAGGTTTGTGAGATGTTGAAATCCATACTAGCATTCATATGTTCTTCTCTGATCTTTTGTCCAGGTAGTCAATAATGAGAAAAGTGTTGTCCAAATATTACTTACAAAACAACAGGCCCATTGGCTCCCTGGAAGACCTCATTTGGTAATTTTTCTAGGTTGTGATTATCACTTAGATTTCTGAAAAACACAATATTTATGCTGAAACAATCTGAGATAAAAAAAAATAAATCTTGCAGCAGTTACTATCTTCTAATTATCACTTTTCAGAATAGTAAACAGAAATAGTTACAGCTCATCCAGATATGTTCCATTAAATGCGTGATTCTCAATTTCCTGAATTCCATTTTTATTTAGCCATCTGCAACAGAGAAAAGAAAAAGAGAGCTGTGTTCTTATTCATACTTCATGACTAAAATGTATGTAATTCAAAGCAGTGAAAGGGATCTCAAGCAAATAAAATTGTTAAATGGATATCGAAACGGTGAAATTTCTACGAATACTGGCTGGTAAGATCCCAATATTTGGACAAAGACTTTGGAGAGCACAGACACGAATAGGGCAGATGAATGCTACCATCAGAGATGACAGCTAGAGTAAGTTTCTGAAGTAAGGGCAGAGCTGGTGAAGATGCTGGCACTGCTCGTGGCTCCACTGGGAAGGCTGCAGAGCAGCTGGTGAGGCTGTTCCAGGTTAATCCCAAGAGGGGTGAGACCTGTTGGTGCTGTCAGCGCCACTTAGTTTTACTGTTTAGCAAGATTCTTTTGAAATTCTGAGCCATGGCTTAATCTTTGCCAGTTATTAGAGAAAAAAGACTGCTGTTTGCCATGGTCTCACATGCTCAGCCAGGCAGGTGGAGGAGGGAGACTGACTGTCACTGAGCCAGGCAGGAGGGCAGAAGGGGGGTGGCAGTGGTACCAAACTGCTGCAGAAAGTGGGTGATTCCTGCTGTGTCTGCTTCCTTGACAAATTACACTCCCTGCCTGCTCTGTTGCCCCAGTCCCACCTCCCCAGGTTTCTTCCCCCAAGAGGAGACACAGGTAATGAAACTGGGAATTGATGCTCCTGGGGCTTTCTGCCAAGTTTTTACTCCAGTGCATTACCTAATTAACGTTTAACGTCCTTCCCTCTGTCCCTTCACGGTCCTAAAAATTTACATTTGGGTCAGTTATATTTATCATCTTTATGGTGCAATCTTTCATCTCACTTTAAACGTCACTTTGCAGCTCACGCCCTCTCCAACAGGCAATGACAGGTCTGATTGATGGCAGAAATGGCCTGATTTAATTAAACTGTCAGCAAACTTGGACATTTTTTTCCCTAACTCACTTCGAAAGCTGAGCATGCAAGTGACCCACTTATCTAAGGTCTGAGGTGGTGAACTAAGGTCAGCATGAAAATCAGTTAAGGGTCTGGCCAAAAGGATTACTTTTTGACCATGACAGGCAGATGTACACAGCTCTGTGTCTATAATGTCTGTCAGGTCGGATCAGGAGAACTGTCACCGTCCCCTTCACTTGCAAGCACTATTAGACATGAGTGAGCAGGCACAGAGGAGAGACATGTCCCTGCTTACAGCATTTAAAACATTTATTATATTAAATTGATCCTATCCATTTGTAGCTGCCAGGCTGATATATATGTTTTTAATCACAGTGTTAGCACTTAGCTGCATTCTCTTACTGAACATGATGCTAATGCAATGAGATACTAAGGTCGTAAAAAAGAGTCACTGTTGCCATGCAGGGTGGACTATACACTCCTGTCACCTGTCTAATAGCACTGGAAGAGTAAAAAGGGCAAAATAAAGTTTACCTAAATCCCAAGACCTCATTATAGTACTTACAGACAAGTTTTTCTTGAGACAAATTCTCTCCTTACTTCAACCAGCATTCTTACTGACTCCACTAAATCTTATATTAGCAACAGGTGACAATGGAGGAAAAGATCCAGAGCTTGGATATAGGGGCCTTTACTTACCATTTCATGGCTATAGCAGACTTTTAAAACACACTTTAAAATTCTCCCAGTTCAGGAGGTCACTGCCCCCGAGGTACCATTTACACACTATTTCAGGGCTCTATCTTAGAGCCTACGCAGACTTGGTAGCAAGGTGAATTTCTTCCATAAATTTCTAGTACTTTATTATCATATGTATCCTCAGTTCCCATCTGTGCTGATCCCATGCATAGCATAAGTTCAGATGCAATCCGAATTACTGGCTTAAATAAGTTCGGAGCTTGCCACAGCTAAACCTATTAAAATTGTTTCTCTGTAGAATCTGGGGGTTCAATGGATTCTGGGTAATTTTAACCATCTGGACATGTCAGGTTTCACTAAACAATGTTTAACCAAAAGTTCCTGCTGCATTGCTGTGGCTTCAGTTTTGAATAGAAAATCAGCAAATTTGGGTCTAAAATGAGCTAAGTTCACCACAGCACAAGGAAAACCTAATCAGGGACTCTCAAAGGGCACATGCAGGGCCTCTGTCCCACGGCAAAGTCAGGACATCACCTGACCAGGGTGGTGGTGGCCAAGTCTGCTTGCACAGCTCTTGCTGTTCTTGCACACACTGGTGGGTGCTGGGAGCCCATGGCAATGGGGCTGTTGAGGAGGCAGGACAAAGCAGCTGGAAGTGGACATGATACATCACCAGGCCAATTTTGCTAACAAACCAGCAGCCTTAAGCCCTCAGAAAGGACTATCCTTCAGTACCCAGTCAGTAATTCTATCATAGTATCATAGAATAATTTGGATCGGAAGGGACCTTAAAGATCACCTAGTTCCAAACTCCCTACTGTGGACAGGGACACCTTCCACTAGACCAGGTTGGTCAAAGCCCCATGCAACCTGGCCTTGAGCGCTTCCAGGGATGGGGCACACACAACTTCTTTGGGCAACCTGTTCCAGTGCCTCACCACCCTCACAGTAAAGAATTTCTTCCTGATATAAACAATGAGACATTCTGGGGAGAAAAGAGAAGCCAATTCCATCTGCTCAAGTGGCAAAGAGAGGTCAAAGCACAGTAAAAATCTGGGATATGTATCTCATCCCTTAGTGGTATTATGGAAATGCACAGTACTTGTTGGGCAGTGCTCTGAAAATATAAAGTCCCACCTAAGCAGCTAATATTATCATCGCAGGAAAGAAGATGAACCAGTGTACTTGCAATGTCATTTCTTGAATATATATTTGGGAAACCTTTGCGTGTATGGGTCTGTGTGTCTGTGTTTAAAACTTCAGAACTTGAAGTAGATAGAGGTTGTGCATAACTGATGGGGAAAAGGAGAGATAAAGCTAAGTGACCCGCTACTGGCCTTTCTTCAATTATTGATGGTCTGACCTTGCTCCCACCAAAATCAACGTGAGCCCAATCAGTCAATTCAAATCTTGCTTGTCTGCTTCAGTATGTGAGGTAAACCACACACACAGAGTGGGAAATTTTTCCAGTCTGGCCACTGTGTAGGTGAAATGAAGGCAGCTTGTTAGCGAGGAAACAGTATGTTTTTATATACAGACAGAAAGGATCAAAGAAGCCAGCTAGTTCATTAAAATACATGACTGTTCAAGTCAAATGTAGAGTCATCTAACCATGCAGCTTGAAACTGCATTATGAACCAGCCTGTATCAATGCATTAACATTGCTTACAAATATACCACATTTCCACAACATCTGCATATGTTTTGTCCAAGTAATAAATGTCTTTGAATGGTATGTCTGACTGTAAATATTTATGAGTCATGCCATCCTCTTGAACACAATTTGTATCACATGGACTGTTGCTGTAGGTGTTTAACCTTGGCATCAGTAATTACTAAATTTGCTCTCTGCTGTGCTTTTAAAATAAAGAGTAGGACTAGAACATCCCCCCCCCAAATATTAATTTTTTTCATGTTAGGAAAACAGAATACAGAGATCTCAGGGGCAGGGAGGAAATCTAAAACATCAAATTAAATTTGGAAGTGCATGAAATAGTGCTCAACTCCTGGTTTTGTTGACCCCGCTCCGGAAAAGAAATGAGGTAACAAGGAGAATAATGAATTTTCTATGTCTACTCACAGAATCACACTTTCAGAACTCAGGCCCATGAATGAGTTTCTTTCAATTACTCGTATATTGATATTGTCTTGAATATCTCTGAAAAATAAAATACAATAGAAACTACACCTTTTTGTACTTCCATGAGCCTTTCAATACAATATGCTGTTTCAAACACAGTATTTTCCCTTATATTCAATCTGAGGAAGTATAGGCTGAGGGTAATGATGTAAGTTTTCAAGACTTTTTTTTTGCAGAGCACAAATCTTCCTGAAAAAAAAGGCTGGAACAAAACCTTTCCAACACCCCCATACTTTCCTCCCAAATAGGCTGAAGTCATTAAAATGCATAAAAGCTCAGGTCTATAACCCTGAGGTGGATGAAATAGTTCCTCCAGCAAACATACTACCCAGAAAATGCAATCTGAGGGGCTGTGAGGCCACCCTTTCTCACAGCCTCCCAGCCAGAAGAAGGAAAACCATTAGCCTTTTTGGCCTGATTCAGCAGGGTACCTACCAGCCCATGAATCATTCCCCTGCTGATGTCAACAGGGTTGCTTATAAGCTTTGTATATGTTTAAGAACTTAAGACACAAAGCCCTGCCAATGCAGTTGGTTGAACTGACAAGCAGGAATTTCCGTCTTTCATCAGTTGTGGCTGATACGAAAAAAGGAACGTTCTGTTGCCGGCTCAAAATAGGCCTCAAAGAAGTTAAATAGTATTACTCATAATTTAGACTGGGGATATGGCTGTTTCCATGCTGTTTCTGTTGGAAAGCATAGAACGAAATTAATTGTCTGCAAAGCTTGAAATTAAGCGTGGTTCCAAAATTATCTCATGCTGACAGTTCAATGCAGCCTCAACTCTTTATTAAGTGACACTTACAGAGAGGCTTCGTTCTGCAAACTGAGGTCAGCAGAGGCAGGAATAGGGAGGGAGCAAGGCACCCACACAAGAAAACTGTATCCCTCTACTAAGGATCCGCATGAGCCCTTTATAAATATCAATGCCCCATCAAAACCTATTTTTGGGACTTAAATATTGGCACAACTGAAGCCAATGGGAGTTTTCTTATTGACTCCAATGGGACCAGGGTTTGAACCAAGGCCTAGTTTGGGACTCAAATGGTATCAAGGCCTTCTTATTCTTACAGGAAAGTGTGGAGTTTTACCTGAAAAAAACCACCAAATAACTCTTGCTCTGCAGGACACAGTAATTCCACTCTAGTTAAGACTAGGGATACCAAGGGGTACAGGTGGAAGGCTCTGATGCATTTGCCTGATGGTTTTGAGGAGTGAAGTTCTCAGAATTACCTATGTCAAGTGTATTACAGAAATAGATTTCTTGTCTTATATGTACTATATTCAGACATCTCTCTCTATGTTTTATATGCATTTTTATTTATATTAATGGCCATTACTAAGACAATTGCAGGATTAATGATTCTGCAGCTAGAAATCTTCCAATTGAAGATCTGAAGATGCAGAACTTTGCATGTGAATTAACAATAAATCTTCTCCAAAAGAATACTTTGAATTACACTAAGAACTGATTGAAAAATGTATGTCAAAATTTTTTCAGTGAAAAAAAAAATCAGTCTTTTCTGATACACATTTTTTTAACAGAATAAAAGGTGCTTTAACAGAAAAATAGTTTGTTTTCACACAGAATTTTACACAAATATTTTTTTCCCTGTTGGTGTTTGAATTTTCCATAGAAAAAAATTTTCATTCTCTGGACGGTTTTACTGCAAGGGGAGAAAAAGGCACGGTAAAGATAATTCCCTGAGTTTAGATTTTTTTTTTCTTTTTTTTTTCTTCTTTCTTCTGTGATGTGGCCACCTTTCATAGAATACAGCTCTGAGATCAGTGACTCTTCCCATGCAGGCCAGAAAAGTGTCACCAGGTGGCAACAGATTTCCACTGCCACCATCCTGATTTGGATTTCAACTTGTAAAAGAGGAGTAAAAGGCTGTTACTGTCCCCTGGGCCATCCAGACACATGCTCATTGCGGAGTTGAAGGAAGAGTGGTCTGTAAAGTGCAAGTTACGACGCTTTGTAGAAGGGAGACCTAGAGAGAACTGAGACCCTTGGAGCCACATTATCATCAATGCCTGCAAAATTACAGCCCAAAATGATACTGTGAAGCCAATAAATGAACACAAGGGGAATCATGTCTTGAAAGGCTTTGTTGGAGCAGAAGAACTTTCAAAGGGAGCTTTTAAAAACTAAAAAGCAAATGTTCAAACTTACAGCAAAACTTTCTGGAAAGACTGAACCTTATGGACAGCAGGTAAAAACCGAAGGCCAGTATTTGATATTAACCTAAGGGGGAGAGAACAGACGAAGATTATTTGCTCTGCCACAGGAAAAAACTGGTAACTTAAAAAGAAGAAAGAACACTCGACTTTTAAAATGGCAGCAACAAAAGACAGAGGTTAGCCACAAAAGTTGGGTTTGCCAATAGGAAACTTCACACTGTAATTTAAAAAGGTTTTTCTCCAAACTGCCAGCTGAATTCTGCCCCACTGAAGTAAAAGGAGAAACCCTACCTTGGATAATTACACAGTCCCTCCTGATGATCTCAGGAAACTTTCCGTATTAATTTCCCAACTGTATTCTAAGAAATCAACTGCACTGACACAGGATAATTATTTTCATAGTAGCTGTTTTAAGACAAAAGTATCAACTCAATTACCACAATTTTAACCTTCTACTCTAATAGAGGATACATTAATTCCATGGGAAATACCATTAATTCATGAAATTAGGAAAGAATTATGTCGCTTTATTCCCCAGCACCTCTGATAGTGAGGAACCAAACACGTGGGAACATTTCAGCAGTTTGTGCAAGTGGAAATGGACTTGAGACTCTGTTCTTAACTACCTCCACCCTCCCACTGCACTGAGCATCACGACCTCTGCATTGCAGTTCCTGCCTGTGAAACACCATCCCAGAAATGCTGACTTCGAAGGATAACCCTGTGCCCACAGCCAGTGAGGACACATGGTCACAGGTATTCACAGAGCTGTACCATGTCTAATTTAAGCAAATGTTGTTATCCAGAGCAGTAACAAGGGCAGGACCAACATAATATTGCCATGCAGCAGGAGATGACTGGTGGCTGCTGATGGCTGGAAGGAGGGCTGAGTTCAGGAGGGAGGAGCTGGACCAGGCTGGACTCCGAACATCTGGGAGTTTTTCACAGACATCAAAAAGTCTTGCGTTTACTCCACTAAACAAAGAAAAAATTTGGATTCTTGAAAGTTTAATTATATATTTGTGGTTTTAATATAAGAGATGGTAGAGAAGGTGACCTTCCACTGAGAATATTGGTTCTTTAAAGAATATATTAATAGTATATAGAAGGTATTTTTTATCCAGGCACTTAAAAAAAAATATTTTTTCATTAATAGATGTGACTTCTGTTTTTTATTTTATTTTTTTTTTCAGAATCATTCCTGAAATTGTTGAATTGTAACAGAAAGGACTGGTTGAGACTGGAAAAATGTGACATCATTCATCTGATGTTTTTTATGAACCTAGATTATTTCAGGAGAGTTGCAGTCTTTCAGGTTTCATAATCTGAACTGAAACTGAACGCCTGCATGTGACAACCAAATCCTACATTTGGGAACTCAGGATGACACATAGGTCCATAAAATAGTCATTCACTGGCATAAGTACTGCTCTGAGCTCCCTGAGATGGTATCTGGGTATCTTCACATGCTGAAAAGCCAACTTTGATCTGTCTCATCTTATAACAGAAAGCAATAATTTACATGCAGGGAAAAATTAAAGCAGTATAGTGAATATTCAAGAAGCCAATTTGGGAAAGTTGCTGAAATGTCATGACTATTTCGTCTCAGGAGTCAGGATGGTCTGACATTGCATTAGCTTAAAAATAACAGCTGTCATATGTGACCAAGAAAACTCTACAAAAATGCCTTTGTAAAACTATTACATACAGTTAAATAGAAAGCATGATTAATGAAGCAGGTGCATTACACAAGGCCCTTATTACTTAAAGCACTTCTGCACTTACACTTTATAAAAGGAGTTCACAAAAAAAATTAGAAGCAATAGGAGAAGAATCTCTAACTCCTCCTTACAGTACTTTAAAATACATTCTTTAAATTACTGGAGATATATACAAGATTTTAGTTGAAAGCTGCCTTTAATTTTAAATGAGTCATACATTAAAAATTGATGCAATTCTTTTAAAAGGCCCTTTTAAATACAAATCATGGCATGCATTTCCTTTAGCAGGTAAATGAAGAAGAAAACTGCCATCAAGATGTGTGTGCCTATTGCAGGACAGAGGAAAAGACATCAGAAGCTTTCCCAAGAAAATCTCAGTCCTCATGGTGCAGCAATGAAAGGTGACAGTATTCTAACATATGCTGTTCAAACACTGCTCCCAATGGCAACTTCCTCCCAGCATATCAAAATTCTAATTTGATTAGCAGGGCTTTCACCACATATGTGTGAAAAAACATCCTCAATGCCTTGGGTTAGTTCTGATCTTTCCAGTATATCCAAAGTGTTCAGGGCTCAATTTTTACTGGTGTCAACTGAGCAGCATGAGATGAAGAAGAAAGTATCTTTGACAAATCATTACATATTGAAGTAAATCTACAGGTGGCACAAGGCACTGATTGCACAGAAGTGCAGAATGGTGATTAGGAGCAGGAGAGGATGTTCTTTTAATTAAATGCAGAAGAAGAACTAAAAAAATATTTAGCTAGACTGCAGCCTAGATATTCCCTGTCTTTTTATTCAACCAGCAAATCTCCAGAGGCCTCTAAGTGGATAATCTTTTTAGAATGCAGATAATACAATTTACTGAATATCTTTCCTGCAGGACAGCTTTGTCAATATATTTACCATATAATGTATACCTCCTTAGTAGCCTCACTTTAAACAAGTGTCCTCTTTAATCTGTGTTACAACTGAGTCCCCCCTTGCCATGCATAAACAGCTTTGTAAGAACCTATTTTTTTCAGGCGGCTGATGGCTGCTTTCCAAAGCATTAATTGTCTTTCTGAAAAGGCTTACCGGAGTCAGCACTTAAGAAAACATAGCACCACGATTAGCAGAGGAAAAAAAAAAAATCTTTCAGAAACTAATTCCTGGAAGATTCTGGCTGCTTATCTCCAGATATAGCAACACGTCCGCTCTTTTTTATGCCAAATTGTAGGAGCTATTCTGACAAATCTGGGAACACAGTTTACCTCATCAATTTACCGTGGGTATTTGCTAAATTGCAAACTCAAGGTAGGCAGAGATAAATACAACATCACCCAGGAAGCATTATTTTTGTGTCTCTTAATCACGCTGGTTACTTCATGCTGCATATGAGCCTGATTCCAGCAAGACGTTCCTCTGACTCTCTTACCCCAGGTTCCTTAAATCTGGAACATCCACTTCTGGTGGAAGGTCTTTAGCCATGAAGCTGCCACGCAAAAGGAAGAAGTGGAGCTTCACTTCTCTTTATTGAAGAGTCAACTCCACGCAAAGGATCAGTAATTCTGTGAACTTTGCTGCATCTGCAGCAAGTACAGGTTTGTGTTTAGGAAGCATGTCAGATACACGTGTGCCAGGTCCTCCATGAAATAAGACCAGGCAGGTACAAGCAGCTGCAAGACTTTGGAGGGTTCCGCAGAAGGGCTCTGCTCCTTTTGCAGACAAAACACAAGCCTTGGCCACCTACATTTCCCCTCCGTTCCAACAACTCAGCTCTATGCTCTCAAAATTCACCTGAAAATTCACCTGAAAGGAGTGTTGCATTTTAATCTTTGTATTGTAAACTGAGATTGCTTAATACAGAACATCAACACCTCTCTAGAAAAGAACCAAAGGACACAGATTACATATGAGAACTAATTTTGGAAAGAAAATGGGCTTGAAAAGCCATCACTACATTATTAAACAGACAATGCCACAGGTCTCCTTAATGAGAGCCAGATAAATAATCTTGTACCAATGAAAAGGTCAGTAAGTTACCATTTTTAAGCAGTCTGTCCCTCTGGCATATACCATAGAAGACCAATTAGCAATTCTCTTCACTCCTTCTAAAAGACTGGTGAGAAAATTAAAGTTGTGTGTTTCTAGAAGGTTTAGGCTATTCAGCATGGTATTTTTTCCGTATTTTACCCTCCTTAGTGTTTTTGCCATACCAGTAATGACGAGGTGCAGGAGACAAAGGGAGTGGGGTGAGCAGGAAATGTATTTGTACCCAAGGTGACAGAGATAAAAGCATGTTAATGTTCAACAGCTGGTGGCAGTAACAAGCCCATGAAGCTGATGAGAGGATGACAATGCTATCCTGAGCTTCTTGCCTGCCCATAAATAAGGCCTAGTGGCTATACAACTTTTTTTGAAGAAGCATAGAGAAAGTCTTGCAAGCAATATGTTAAACTGATGGGCTGTGGTACCTGGGCTCAGTCTTGGCACTAAAACTGATTAGTTTTAGTGTCTGTGTTTTTATATGAAAACTGTCAGTAAATATATATTTTTCTGGAAGATTTTTCCCAGTTGTGTTTCGACAGTTCTGTCACAGTCACAGCACTGTGTAAGGAATCAGACCATGTGTCTTGTACCCAGCCAGACTGCCATCATAGCTGGACACTTCAGAAGAATCACAATGATCCAACAATGGGCAGCTACCCAAGTCCCCGTGCTTTGTTATGCTGGTTGCAACTGGGTCTGGCTATACCTCTGTACATGGTCAGACAGAATCTCCTAATCTGTTTTGTGACAAGATATTGATGAAACCATGTCCTACTCCTAACTTCCAGCAATTAATGTGAAAATTAGGCTGTAATGTACAAGGGCTTACAAGTTTTCTTTCACGGCCTTACAATTTTTATCATTTCTGCAATAGCTGTTGATAGCTTTTCTATCCACATAGATGCTTAACCTGTTTCTGAATTATTTTAAATTATAGTCCCACAGGTTTACAACCTTTTACTTCTGTATTGTATAAAAAACCCCAGCCAACCACCACAAAAAAACCCAACTCAAACCAAACCAAAAACTAACTGAACTGAAAAATCATCAATCCATTTACCCCCTCAGCATCTTCCCTTATATTTTCACTAACTGACCCTTCCTTGCACGTAATAGGAAGGTGAATACAAGGACTGGGTTACCTTTACCAGATGCTGTTTTACAGCCTTCCATCAAGGTTTTTGCTTTCTCATTAAATTAACTATCCTATCCTTTCAAACAGTAAAGCTTTCTGCCTTTTCAGTTTCTAAAAGGGCAAGCACTAGTGAGTGAAACCAGGGGATGGAGAAAATGACACTTTCCTACAGAAATGTGCCAAGAGAGAACATGAAGGTATGGCTGCAAATAGAGAGAGTGATCTGAGCATGATGTAACTCAGCATCACACCTGGGCCCACTGCTACCCAGAAGGCTCCAAAAGGGGCCTTGTGTCCTGCTCCTGGTGCCTGTGGTGAGAAATGATGTAGCTCCACTGAAGCCAGCAGTGTTGCACTGATTTGTATGCCCAACACAGCTTCCACAAATTAGCACAACACCTACATTCATCTGCTCAGAAGCTCTGGGCCATGAAGCCTGCACCTTTTGTACTGTTTATAGTCATACAAGACTGGGGGGTTTTACCTCCCAAAAGGTAGGCACAGCAGGAGTGCAACATAAATCCATTAGTGGAGTATACACCGAAGATGAATATTCTGAGCATAAATTAGAGAAAAGTTTTGGCATGAGAATGAATGTGAATTAAGTGGTCATGTGTAAAATTAAAGGAAATGTTTTAGTCACCAAATCATTGAGTTTTTGGAAAAGCCTCTCCCAGAAAAAAGAAGAAAGCAGGGAACAGTGAAGAGCATCAAGAATGTCAATAAATAGCACTTAATTATTGGGATATATGAAGAGGATCCAGGACAAAATAGAATACAGTAGCGTGGAGTCTCTTCCAGCACTGTGTGCCCACAAGAGAAAAAAGCTTAAAACCTACTCAAAATACATTTCCCTCTGATAACAGCTAGCAAGTAAAGTTAGATAAAGAGGAGAGGGGAATGGTTAGGTGGATAAGCAATCCTCTGCATTTTTAATCTGTTGCTTCTGTAGGCCATAGTATTGCTGCTGCAGCTGAATTTTTATACAGGTAGAATCTCTGAATATTTGAGTCAACATGTATGGGAGTGTGGAATGACAAATGTTCAAAAGAGGCAACATCCACTAAAGTCAAGAGAAAAACTTTCACTACTTCAGGTATTTAAAGAGGGAATATACCTTTTCATCACGAGCTATGATTTCTGTGTCCCACATTTAAACAACCACTGAAATTAGTGTGTTCATTAGTGTGTTCACATTTTTTCTTCTTCAATTTTGTATGAGAGAAATGTATTCTCGTTCTTTCTACTCATCTGTACATCCAACAACTGTACTACCCATAGCAGCTTGCTCTGGGGATTTTACACGGGATAAACAAATGCTGTGGTGTCATTCACAGGGAGGTAGAGTTGCTCAAAGACAGCAGTCAGTGCTAAATGACTCAGGCTTGAAATGAGATGAAATAGGAGTATGATTTCTCCTCATGAAAATGCAAACTTAAAGCTTTATTTCCCTACTGTTAAGAGAAAATCTGTTTCAGTTATGCACACAGAAAAGTTAATCAAGGTGCCTGATGAATTTGGTAAAACAGAAATCAGTCAAAATTCTGGGGAGAGTGACAATCCTACTACAACTCTAACCACATATTCTGGTTCAATGATGGTTTAAACTATAATGGTTTGTGTAGTGCTAAATACACCTCATCTCCCAAAGTCCAAATCTTATATCTCAAATCTTATAGTACAAATTCAAAGTAATGCCTCTTGGCATTTTTGAGCCCAGAACCCGTCAGATACTAGTGATTTTCAAAGACTTTATATACTCTTTAACTCACTGGGAGCTATGCTTATTAGACCACTGACCTGATTTCATACTGTCTTTAAGAAATGTCTAAGCAGGAAATTAAATACTTATTTTTATGTACTGAAACGTAGAAATCATGACCAGGCTTCTTAGATGAGTAAGGAAAACAAGGCTTCTTGTGACAGTAAAGTTTATTGTGTGAGTCAGGAAAATATGAAGGGGTGTATGTGGTCAGGTGGACAGCCATACAAAAGTTAAGTTGATATCCTGCTGGATGCATATGCCTTTGGTCACCAAAGAGCACCACTTAAGCTGTTTAAGCTATGACCATTAAAAACCATTACTGTTAAATGGAGTTCATTGTACTTCACTGGGGTTTCAATGCTGAGGAGAGATTATTAGTCATGTTAAAAACATGCACCAAAAGCTGTGAAAATATATTTGAGTAACAGTTTATTTTAAGGATGCATTCAATTAGCACTGAATTTTGATGGCAACCCCATGGAAGCAGATGTGGCAACCATAGTTGTGCAAATGACTCAGTGAGGCCGGTTGATGAAATAAAGCTATATCATACATCAATATATTTGTATTTTAGGGATTTAATCATGTCACATCAAGCATTAGTGAAAACCACTGCTACAGCACTACCTTTGTTAAAGAAACAGGAATTTGAATGCTTAAGACCATGTGTATGACACATAACAGAAGGCAGTAACATGGCAAAGACAGATGAGAGATATTTTTTGTCCCAAAGCTCTCAGAAGGAATTTCAACTTTAATCTGTTTCTATAGATATGAAGTGGTCCAGCTCCTCTTCTCATCACTCAGTTCCAACCTGTTTCTTAGAAAGGCTCGAGGAATTTGTGTGTGGGACTACTCCTTGGAACCTATTCAGCTTTTCTGAGGACTGCAGGCATGAAAATGTGGGTTGACAATATGCAACTAGTAGCAAGGAAAGGGCATTATCCTGTCTTATCACTGAAAGTGCTCAGCACAGAAACACGTGTGTCATTCAAAGTGACCATAGTACTTGCAAGGAGCAAAAGATCTTACAAATATCTGAGGCTTGGAAGGTGTTGGAAGGCATCTGCATCAATGTACACAAGGTTGTTGGCTTTCTCAATTCTTCTGCAAAGAGGAAATGAAACATCAGAGAAAATATATCAATATATTGATGTTAAAATTGTGTTTGTCCTGTGATGTAGTGGAATTATATGCTGAGATTTTCTTTTTGACAGCAGAAGATCTGCATAATTTCAAAGGGCAGGCTACCGCAGATTGGCAGACCCCACCACCTTTTGATACTGGCAGTGATCTGAGGATAAGTTTTAGGTTGACCAGGTAAAAAAAAAGGACAGTTCGATAAGAAGATGGAAAAGACAAAGGCAGATTTCAAATGTTCCTATACTGCTATGAATTCTTCCGTGCTTACCTGAACCAAACTGCAAAACCTTTGATATGCCTATAATGAATCTTTATAATTGTCTCCCGTGCATTTAGATTGCTCATTACTTACATTTCATGTAGTTTGGGAAGGTTGGAAAACGCATTTGCTTCTATGACCTCCAAGGCATCATTTTGTGAGATCTCTCTGAAAAATAATTTAGAAGTCAAGATATTTCAAGCCATGGTAAAGCAGAGAATGGACAAGCGAAAAATTCAATGGGAATTTATTTTTTAAACCCAAGCTAGATATCAGATAACAAAACAGACCCCAGAAACTGCTGAGTACTGCCATGTCAAACAACACTCAGGAATGGACACTGCCTGAGGCTGAAGTTTGTACTATAGTGGCACATCCTGCTGCCATCATTCCCCGTGCATCAGAAATAAGGGCCCATCCACCATGGACCTCTGGATCTCTGAAATTACAAAATACTAGTAGAAATTTAAGGAAACCTTTCAACTCGATGAAGAAAATAGGGGATGAAGGTGACTGAAATAAAGACAGCTAAAAAGTTCCCAAGAAATATGATACAACTTCAGGAATAGGACACTGCTGTCTAGACCCAATGTGAAGTACAGAGATTAAATCTAAGCCACCAGCAGATGTGCCCTTATTAACAGGAGCTGGAGACCACAGACATGAAGAATTCTTTTACACCTTGGAGAAAAAACTATTTGATCTCGTCTGTACAGAGTTAACGCCCACTTACAGTCACAGAACTGTAGAATATAAATGGCCAGTTTACTGTTATCAACACACTAGAATGCATCTCCTGCTAGTCCAGAGTACACATTTCTTTGCTTCCTTAATCTGCGGGATGGCAAAGAGAGGTGTCAGACTCTGGTGTAATTTAGAGCTCAGGAGCTCTCCTGGTGAACCAAGTGGGCATTACTGCAGTGCAACCTGTCCCAGTTACATCCCTTATGCTGGTGCTGACCAGGAAGGTCAGGGTAAAGACAGCTATGCCAGAAGATTCCCCACTGCTGTTTTTTTGGAAGTGGTGCAAAAATGCTATTTTCCCAGGCTGAGGTCAGCTGCAGGAAGTAAAATTTGTAATACAGATGTAATTTAGTGGTGTCGTGATGGTCTCCTGGATTTTAATGGCAAGGTAACTGTGCACATCTTTGGAATGAAACCTTGGATAAATAGTAAGATTGCAAACTGGACGACACTTGTTCCTGGATATCTTGTTCTTTTGAAATTATGATGGTTGCAAATAGATTCGAATAGGCCTGAGGTAAAACAATAGATTGTAATGTCAAGTGCACTGTCAAAAAATAATCACAAAAATTATTATGAGGAATATAAAAAGTATTCTACTCCCTTCTAAGTAACAACTGAACCATACCTGACAAATTACTGGCCCATTTAAGACAAACAAAAGCCTTGTAAATGAAGATAAGTTTTTCATCTGACCTTTTCCATTTTAAAATATCTTAGTGGTTTAATATTTTTTTAGTTTAATAATATTTTTTTAGTTTAATAAGAAACTTTCCCTCCTGTTTCCTCAAGGGTTTTTTAAGGAAGAAATCCAGCTCTCTTCCACTCCAGGAGCTCTAAACTGACTGGAGAATAAAATAATAAAAGTACATGAGGATTGATAATTGGTGCTTGGTAGGGTGCAATGAGAGCTGAATTTGTTTAGCAGTGCTGAACCACCAGCTCACATGTGAATATGTTCCTCTTTATTATTTAATTTTCAGCAGCAAGGAAATGCTTCAACTGAGACAGGGATTCCTTCACACCACGTGAGGTACACAGCCATTGCAAGGGATATCTCGAAGACTTTTTATTATCTTCCTGTTTTCTTTAAAAATAATGCATTATAAAATATTTGTAGAAATATCTAGAAGAATAGAATAGAAGCATTCATCCCCTATGATGTATTGATATGACAGCACACAATTCACTTGCCTAACTACAGTCTAGAAGATTTAACAACATGGCAGGTGTCTCACACTTTTAAGATTTGGTTTGGTTTTGCTTGTGCTCTTTTTGGTGGTCAGCAGCATGTTTGCCATTCCCCACAATCCAAAAAATCAGTTGTCTTGAAAAAAAAGAAAACCATCAGAAAAAGTAGAACATTTAATACTAGCAAATCCATTTAGCCAGAAGAGATTTCATGCCACTAAGCAGTTCAGGGAAAAATGTTGCAGATTTGTTGGCCTTATACAGGGAAAAAAAGGTTATTAAGAAACCATAATACAGTAGTGACCTCACCCAGCAGATAGTGCTGTTGAGGGTAATAATTTTTTATGATCCAATCTGCTATCTAACTTTGGAACAACTTGGATGACATATCTCTTTTAATGGACTGCTTAAAAATGAATGTTTCTGCATCAGGAGAGTGTGTTGGCTTCCTAAGAGTGGGACAGGTTATTGGCTTTGTTTCTATTTGAGAAATGGAAGATACAGATCTGATTAAGGTAGGACACAAGCAGGCCGTGACACTTCTGAAGGTTTGGAGAATGCATGGTTAAGGAAAAGAATGAAGAGAGTTAGGAAGATAGGAACCTCTAAACTGTTTTTGCAAGATAAGGTTTTTTAAATATTAAGTTTTTTTAAGATTAGTTTTAAACAGAATTAAATAACACTCCCATGTGGGGGCTGTTTCAGAGATTTGGTAAATGACTTGGCTTTCATTCTAACATTCCCATTCACAGCTACAAAGGTGAGAGTTTGGGGTTTTTTTTAACAGGTAACGAAAATACATCCATTTGCAATGACTTTTTTTTTTGTCTTCCACCCCAAGCAAATTACTGCTGCAGCTGCTGAGGTTATGAGGATCTCAAGATCAGTAAAAGGAACAAAAGGGAAACTTGTCAATGGTAGAAGGCAGTAACCCTTCTGGTGTTGGGCTTCATCCTTTGTGTTCAGGGGATTGCAGGGATGAGGGAAAAGGACAAGACTCTCTGTCCCCTGCAATGAACTGTGCACCGTCTTCTACGCTCTCCCCAGGAAATCCTGTTGGTGATGACCTTACTCATCATCATTCTTTGCAGATGAATCCCAGTTTATAGTAATAGAGTGCTGTTTTCTGACAGAAGGCCATTGCTATTTTTGTCCTTTCGGCTGCATATATACCTACCAAGGCTGTCATTCAGCTAAGAAGAATAAATAAAATAAAACCATTCTGTTTAGGGGACCAGTCACACATTGTGGACAATAGGCAACACTAATCTGGGTTTTGGTTGCACAATTTGCACGAACAATTTATTCATACCTGGCAAAAAAACACACCTGCTCATGGAAAACCCAAAGAACACTATCTTGGATACAGGTATCTATGGCACTAAGAGTACAAACCACTGCTGCTCACATCAAACAGCCAACTCAGCAGACTCAGATCCTCTGCAGAGGAGAGCAAATAATACGTGCGATAGCAGTTACAAAGAGAAAAAAAGGGATTGCTGGCTAGTGTTTGAGCAAGTGATTTGTCTTACAGTATAAATACACACAAACAGATGATTGCTCATAATGTATGTCTTATTATATGTCATCAAGAGAGAAGATAGGACTGTTATTATGTTGTTTGTTTGTAATGAATGATACTATTAGCTCTACTGCTAGCTATCGCAGGAAATCCAGCCGGCAATTTGAGCATCATTTCTGATACAGGCAAGCCTTTGAATGGATGGTATGCAAAACAATCAAGGGCAATTTCTCAAAAAAATCCAAATCTCAAAACCACCCAGTGGTTGCAAAGTGCTTAGGCATCTGCCTGAGCTTAGTTATCACTGCATCCACAGTTATATTGATATCAACAGCGATCCTCAAAAACATAAATTGTTTACTCAAGCACAGCCTAAAAGAGAAAAAAGTATTCAGTAAAAACATTTTACAAAGGTAAAAAGGACAATTGTTTTTATATTTCTGGAAGGAGAATGTAAGGCCAAGATGTGATATCACACAACTAAGGGATCTGCCCTAGCTCACCACTAAAGTAGCAAACTGGAATAATTGTTACCTATTCACCAGCAACTGACTGCAGTGTAGCATTTCTGTGTGATAGCCAGAGCCTCTGACAGCAGGGAGAGAGATGGAAAATTGTTTAACCTGCCTGCAAATCTGCTGTAAGTCTGGGCTGGGCATGCATTTTCATGACATCTGTGACAGAGTCCTGTGTGACACATTCCTCTTCAAACCGGCTGCACTCAGAGCGTGACCCATAAAAATCAAGTTGCATTGAAATGGCCTTTAAAACAATCCTACTAGTGAGGAACTTATAGTTCATGGCAGTTTCTTTGTAGTCCACTAAAGACAAAGTCTCTTAGACTAATCAAAGTCTTACAGCAAAAGCAAGACTGTATTAAACTCACAAACTAATGATCTTGGAGCCAGGTGTTCTTACATCTCAAAATAATGAAAGAATAAAAGACTGGAAATTTATGTCTTTTATGATAAGAATTCCTTTCATGATCAGAGCAGACCACACAGACAAAGTCATTTTTTTCCCTTCTAGGAAATGTGTCTATTTTAAAAAATGTGCGTATCTATGTGTGTGTATATACACATACAGAAGGTTAACGTACATGAGTGAGTGGTAACTTGTGTCAAAAGTGACATGGCATATGATGTGTAGGAGGGATATTCCCTCTCCAGTCACAAGGCCCTATTCTGTAGTGCTGGAAGTGACCCACTCTCTATAAACTTGTGTAGCCTTCCTCACACTCCCTTCCAGAGCAGGTATATACATGGGCTAAGTAGCTGATCTGTTTGCCTTATATTTCCTGTGATGCATTATAATTGTGTCTTTTGGCCTTTTAACCTCACCCTTTGAGGCCGTTTCTCGTGGTATAACTATCCTGTGGATTCCTGTGAACCCTTTTTTTCACTCTGTAGCTACCTGCAATCAGCAGTGATACTGGAGGTATCAGGTACTGACTCCCAGAGCAGGCAGCCTCCCTGCTCTCTGCACTTTTACAAATCAATAGCATTGTGTTCATTTAAGGGAAAAAGGAAGAGAAAAAAAGGCCAATGATGCTTATTTTTCCCCCTTTCCATAAATATAAATACTCTTTAGAGCTATTTACCAGGTCAGTTTTACTCAGTGGTTTGACTGATGCCACAATTTATGTCAAGCTTAAGAATAAATAGCAGTAGTGTGGTGTCGCCCAGGCAATCCTGCCCAGCATTCACTGGGT